GGGGCAGCAGGGGTGGGGGCCCCGGTCACTCACTGGCCATGCAGTTCTCGTCCAGCTGGCTGAAGGAGAAGCTGACGTTGTCCAGCTCAAACAGGATCCCCCACAAGTCCTCCAGCATGCTTCCCTTCTCCTTTTTAGGGGACAGGGTGCAGCAGGACCTTGGACACCACCCACCACCCCTGCTCCCCATGGCCCCCCTGCCCTGCAACCCACACACTGACGAGCCACTGGGCACAGGTCCCTGGTGCGGCTCAGCATTGGGCAAAGGCTGCACCCTGGTGCATCATGTGCCTGCTGCAGGTCAGGACGCAGCTCGGCCCTGACTGCTAAGTGGCCCTAGTGATGCCCTGTCTCCCTCATGGGCACGGAGATGCAGACTTAACCAGGCTCTAGAACCTCGATCCACCCAAACTCATGGGCCCCATCCCACCCTGTACAGGTACCTGAGGTCTTGCATTCGGGATCCACGGCTGTACACAATGGCCACCACCAACCCCCCTAACTCCCAGCCATTGCCCAAGGCCAAGTGCAGGGCCAGGCCAGAGGCTGGGGCCCTTCCCCCTCCTTAATCAGGACCATCCATTACCTTTTATGCATGTTACTCATCTGCCTAGAATAAAGCCTCAGCCACCTCATCCCAGGCCCTGCCTGTTCTCCTCTGGTCGCACTTCCTTGGGGCCTTTGTACATGCTGCTCTCACTGCCCAGCACACTCTTCCTCCATTTTCCTGGCTGGCAAACACCTCTGTTCAAACATCACCTCTGCAGAAAGACTTTCTGCACAGCCTCACTGTGGGTGGCCCGCGGCCCAGCCCCATCTCAGTCCACCTGCCCCTGCTAGAATGTACTCTGCAGACCCAGCCAGCACAGCACCAGAGGCAGAGGGAGGGGACCGGGCTCTGGGAAGAGGACAGCCAGGGCTGGTGGCCCACAGCCCTCTGGGCCCCAGGCTGGACTGGGCTCTTTGCCCACTTGGAGCCTGTGCCTGCCAGCAGTGGCCAGCAGAGGGCGCTCCAAGGTCAAAGCTGGGCCTTGGGACCTGGGGGGCCTAGTTTGTGCTAGGGGCAGCCGGGGGATTCTGAGCAGCACCCCAGGTTCACAGGTTCACACCGCAGGTTGGCTGTGCTCCCTGCCTTTGCCCAGCCCCTTCGCCCCCACAACTGTGTCCTAGATGGTCAGACTGATTGTTTTTGCTATTTGGGGTCTTTCATTGTTCCATATGAAATTTTTTGTTGCTTCTTCTATTTCATTGAAGAATGAGGTTGGAATTTTGATTGGTATTGCATTGAATTTGTAGATATTCTTTGGCAGTATTGCCATTTCACGATGTTAATCCTCCCAATCCAGGAGCATGGGAAGTTTTTCCACTTGCTTAACTCTCCTTTAATTTCCGTTTTCAGGTTTTTAACTTTTTTTTTTTTTTTTTTGTCGGTCATGGGGCCTGAACTCTGGGCCTGGACACTGTCCCTAAGATCTTCTTCACCTCAAGGCCAGCACTCTACCACTTGAGCCACAGTGCCACTTTTGGCTTTTTCTGCTTATGTGATGCTGAGAAATGGAACCCAGGGCCTCATGTACACAAGGAAAGCACTACCATTGAGCCACCTCCCCAGCCCAAAAATAGATTTTATATTGACAACATTGTAATCTGTTCTTGTCACTGATGACCATGGATTTATTAAACATTCTTTCAAGGCAGACAGGGAGGTCAGAGTTCCCTTCCAGATGTCAAGACATCTGATGCTGGAAGGGATGGTCCCTTACCCATGTTGACACCACAGCTGTGGCTGTGACTCTCACTGGATGATCTCCCAGAGCAGTCTTCTCCATGCTTGAAATATCCAGTTGTTTCTGCCTCCTGTGTGACAGCTTCAGTGTAATAGGGAGAGAGAGCACTCAGTGACTGAGCAAGACTGGTTTGTCTCCTTACTGATGGCAGTGATGCTGCTTGATCTCATTTTAATAGCATATAAGCAAACTGCATTGTTTCCAGGACAAAAATTTTGTAGGAAAGCAGATATTTCTTTCCTGAATGTTTTTATAGAGAATATTTTATAGACAAAATCAAAATCCATCTCTAAAGAAATTGCATGTTTCCTCATGTCCTTGTGAACAGATGATATTTCCCTTTTCTTTCTATCTGAATTGCCTGCATTTTCAAAATAAACTGTTTCTATTCAGTCACTTTTTCAGTGTTGGTATCATGAAAAATTTGGTGTAAGAGATTTAATGTAATAGTGGTCCTAGGAAACACATACATGGAATGTGATTCTAGAATTTAGTGGTTCCTAACAGCAGTATCTCAATATTAGAAGGAACTGAAGGGTACAGAAAGAGTGCAGCATCCCACACGCTAATCTCTATTGTGATTGCTAGGAATTTAGGGGCAAGTTGTTGCAGTAGTTTACGTGAAATCTTTAGCATTTGATAAGTATTTGGAGTTCCCAGTTTGTGCATTAGGAGACTGTTGCTATTGCAAATGGGAGACCTTGCATGAGAAAGTTAAACTAGAAAGCATAGATTTCTGAATTTTTAAAAGAATATTATCTGAGAATAGATGAGCCACAGATTTATACTAGCAGACTTTTAGTCTTCATCTCAAAGACCAAGCAAATTTCCTGTGTCATCTATTGCACATTCAATAACATTTATGAAACAATTTATGAACATAGATGGCACTCCTAGTAAGGTCTCACTGCCTTAAGACATATAAAAGAGAGAGATGAATGTTAAAAATTAGTCTAAGTTTTGTATGTTGTGTATGTTTCTTTCTATTTACAAGCCATTGTGGAAAAATATGACAAAATATCTAAGGAGCAGTTTATTCTGCTCTAATTATTACTGATGTCTTCTGACTGCAAGACATAATTCTGCTACCTTCCCTGAGTTTCAACTGTGTTTCACATAGTAACAATAACTTAATTCACTGGTTTGTCTGACTGTTAAATCTAAGGCTCTGAAGCAAGTTGAGTTCTTGAAGTTAGAACATGTGAGTGAGTCTATTACTAGCTAGAAATTAGCTTGTGTGATTTTTCTCATTGACTTGAAAGTTCTTCCACATTCCACTCAAAGCCCTGCTGCAACTTCTCACACACACTCATGTCCCAGTTCTGGGTCCTCTATTCTGTTCCATTGGCCAATGTGTCTGTTGTTGTGCCAACATGATCTTTTTGCTATTATGGTTCTTTTAAATAAAGTCAGATATTATGATATTTTCAACAAGGAATTTAAGTTTTAAAGCTGTGTCATTTCTTCAACCAGACCATTCATTATGTAAATTAGAATAAAAATATTTATTTACTGTATTTATCTACTTATGTTTTCCCTCCCCCCCATTGGTTGTGGGGCTTGCACTCTGTTCTTGAGCTTTTTCACACAAGACTATCACTCTACCAATTTGAGCCACAGTACCACCTCTGATTTCTGGTGGTTAATTGGAAATAAGAGTCTCACAGACTTTCCTTTCTGAGTTGCCTTCAAAGGCTCACATGTGAGCCTTCTGAGTAGCTAGGATTATTAGCATGAGCCACCAGTGCCCAACTTTATCTATTTATTTTTTATTAGTATATGCTAATTGTACAAAGGTAATGATGTTGGTTATAGATTTCTCATATGTAGACTTCAGTGGATTCTAAGTTTTTTCATACTTTTATCATAAATAAATGTTGAATTTTGTTAAGGGCTTTTTATGTGTCAGTTGAAATGATCTTGTGATTTTTGTTTGTGATATTACATATGTGATGTATTACATTTATTGATTTATGTATGCTGAGCTTTCCTTATATTGCCCTATATTCTTTTTTATGTTAATACTTTTTATTGTAAAAATACTGTACAGAGGGGTTACAGTTACATGAGCAAGGTAATGAGCACATTTCCTATCAAGCATCGTTGCCTCCTCCTTTGTTTTTCCCCTACCATCCCTTCCCTCCCTCCTCCACAACTACATTCCCCGCCCCCCCCCCCCCCGCCTAAATTGTAAAGTTCATTGTTTTCTTTTTTTATTCATAGGATAAGCTTTATTTATACATCTACAGAAATACAACTTGTTGTCAAAATCCAAGTGTTTCCAAAGTATTAAAATGATTATTCAATGCTAGAATCATCTCTTTCCTTTAGTCTGTCTCTGAATTTGGTAGAGAGCATCATTGTGAAGGGTCTCTTTTCCCTGCTCATTTTCATTGTCTTCCTCTCTCTGGTCTTTGAGTGGCATGTTCCAGTTCTCTGGAAACTTCTCACATTGTTTTCATTTCCAACAGAGGGCAAGGGCATTTATCTCTACTCCATCATGGGAAATCTATACCCCTCAATTCTCTTGTTCAAATTATGGCTGTATAAACAGTGTCATGAGGAACTTCACATTACCAAAAAAAAACCACTTATAATTTCTTTCTTTTTCTTTTTCTTTTTTGGTCGGTTGTGGGCTTGAACTCTGGGCTTGGGTACTCCCTGTGCTCTTCAGCTCAGGGCCAGCGCTCTACCACTTGAGCCAGAGTGCCACTTCCTGTTTTCTAGTAGTTTATTGGAGATAAGAGTCTCACAGACTTTCCTGCCCGGGCTGGCTTTGAACCGTGATCCTCAGATCTCAGCCTCCTGAGTAGCTAGGATTACAGGCGTGAGCCACCGGTGCCCGGCTTATAATTACTTAATGCTATAACAGTAACCTTGTTTTTAATTAAAAATTGTTTTTTATTATTTCTCTACAAAGCTATAAAATATTTTAAAATACCTATGAAAACATTGAAAAAACACTTTATAATCTTAAACTGACATGATATACCTTGAATGATTTACAACTAAGAATTAGATAGTATAGCCTCTGCATTTAAATTTCTGGATGAATTTGTAAGATGGAGGTGGAAAGACTTAAAAAAAAGATTTTCAATTTCAACTCCTATTAAGTTTTGAAAAGCTACACACTTGCTGATAAGCACTAATGATAAGAAGAATCTGGTAGGTTCATAGTTAAGATTTGTATGCTAGGCATGCCAAGTGCTTCCCTGTAACTGATTGAAGTATTTTTCCCTTATTTTTCCCCTTATATTTTAAATAAAAGTAGAAATATATATATGACAAAAAATGCACATAGTACAGAGAGATCTAAAGGAACAATATGCTTCTCCCATAGCCTCCAGTCATATGAGTAATTCACAAAAAGTATTACTTTTAATACTCAAAAGTATCTGCACATACTTTTCAAGCTGTTGGAACTGTCTTGACTTGTCTTCTCTAATACCTCTGCTATAGAGGCAAGTCCTGCAGTCTTCCCCTTCATAAAGAAAGTTTAAAAGGCAACATGCACACGGCTGAGTTCACACAGCACTTCTGACACCACTGGATCTAGTCACATCTCCACAGCATCCCAGGGGATCATTCAGAGATGATGTAGCACTCAGCCGAGTCCTTCCTGAATGCCGCGGATCCTTCTGGCCAGCTGCACATCCTTGGGGAAGAGAGTGACTCGGCCAGAGTGTAAAGAGAGGAGATAGGTATCCTCAAAAAGGTGAACCAGAAATGCTTCTGCCACCTCTTGAAGGGCCAACAGGGCCTGTGCTTGCCAACTGAAGTCAAAACCTGGAGTGAATTTACTGCATATTTCTCTTGCCAGGCGAGCAAAGGGTACCTTCCTTAACAAGAGGTATGTGCTCCTCTGCAGCTTCCGGACCTCTGTAAGCCAGCCTGAAGGTAGTGCCTCGGGAAGAGTTGCACAGGGACATGCTGGGGGTCCGGGTCGGGCTTGCCCACGAGCCCATGGAGGGCCGCGAGGTTCCTGGCATCTGAACCTCAGGCCGTAGGCCGGCGGCTGGAAGTAAAGTTCATTTTTTCAACATAGTGTCTTGTACATCTCACTGTTACAATGGGTCAACCTGTATCCCTACTTAAGCATTTTGTTTTTTCCCTTCCCCTCCCCAAATTAGAGAAGTGTATATATAAGATGCAGGGCACCTAACCCCTGTTTTCACTGTATTTGATGCCTTATATTCTTTATATTCCTTATATTTCCTTATATTCCTTCTATTTCCTTAGATTACAAAATGTTCATGGTGTATGATCTTTTTAATGTATTGTTGAATTCTGTTTGTATTTTAGTGAGCATTTTTCCAGAAATGTTCATCAGGAGATTGATCTATAATTCTCTCTTTTTTGTTTGGGTCTCTGTCTAGATTGGGAAAACTGCAATACTGGCTTCATAAATGAGGTTAGTAGTGTCCTTTTCTTTCCTATTTTATTGAAGAGTTTGATACCAATTGGGATTAATTCTTAGAAGGCCTGATACAGTCCTGGGCCTTTGTTTGTATATTCTTTTTTGGGGTCCGGTCGTGGGCCTGAACTCTGGGCCTGGGCACTGTCTCTCAGCTCTTCAGCTCAAGGCTAGCGCTCTACCACTTGAGCCACAGTGCCACTTCTGGCTTTTTTCCTTTTTGCTTATGTGGTGCTGGGGAATAGAACCCAGGGCCTCATGCATGCAAGGCAAGAGCTCTACCACTGAGCCACCTTCCCAGCCCATTTGTATATTCTTTATTACATTTTTTCATTTCAAAGTTTTCCAACATGATTTTGGACTTCCTTGGTGTTTGTTGATATTTAATTTATTATTGTTATTATTTTATTGCTTGAACTCATGGCCTAAGCACTGGCTCTGTGCTCTTTTGCTCAAAGCTAGTGGTTTACCAGATAGAGCCACAGCATCACTTCTGGTTTTCCCATGGTTAATTGAAGATACAAGAGTTTCATGGACTTTCCTGCCTGGATGGCTTTGTACCGAGGTTCTCAGATCTCAGCTTCCTGAGTAGTTAGGATTACAGGTGTGAGCCATGAACTCCTGGCTTGTGCATATTTTTAAATCATAATTTTATTAATTTCTTCCCTAAACTTTGTTATTTATTCCCGTCCAGTAACTCAGGATTTTGTTTGCTTTTGTTTTTCTACAAGTTTGGTGTACATGTTAGTCTATGTATTTGGAAATTTTATGTGGAATTTTTTTTGGTAGAGGGTCTGGGCACTTTTAACTACAACTGACATCATGTCCTTTGCTGTTTCCCAGAGATTCTGGTAGTTTGTGTTTTTTATTTTCATTTGATTCCAGAATTGTTTGGATTTTGTCTTTTATTTTTTTATTGATCCACTTGTCATTCACAATGTGTTACTCAATCTTCAAGTGTTAAATATTTGTAGTATCTTTTACTAAGCTAGTTCTTTAATTGTCATACAAGAGAATGCAGGGGATTTTTAAATGTTTCTGCATTTGGTAAGATTTCTTTATGACATAAAATGTTATCTATGTTAGAGACTGCTCAATGGACTTCAGAAAAGCATGTATATATTTCAGCTGCTGTATGAAATACTTTATTGATGTTCCTTAAGTCCATTTTATTTGTATTATTTTTTAGTTCTGAGTTTTCTTTGTTGATTTTTCTCTTGACCGACCTATCTATTGGTGAAAACAGGGTACTGAAACTTCTCCCTAATATATTTTTGTTGGGACAGGGTCTCTGACTATGTAACCTAGGTTGGCTTAAAAGGTGCTATGTAGCCCATGCTGGCCTAGAACTTATGCACATCATGCCTTAGCTTCCTAAGTGCTAGGATTAAGCTATCCATTTATTCATTTAATTTGCATTGAGAAGTATTTTTTAATTACCTGACAGATTTCTGATATTGTTTGAGGTGTGGGAATAGCATAATTTAATTTGTCTCTGCTATCCAAACTGAGCTAATGACTACTAGGCTTGTTGATATTTTTACAATTCTATCCTAAAACTTGTTTTTCTAATTTTTCAGTGACTCACTGGGTGAGCAAAAACTAAAGTCAAATAGTAAAGTTAAATTTTTCTTAGAAGTGTTTGGAGTAGTGTTTCTAAATAAGATGTAGTGGCTAAATAAGTGTAATGGCTCAAAATACAAAAATAGAAAACAGAATTAAAGAGAATCACCAGAAAGCTACAAGTATATCGGGGATGGAGGAGAGGGAGAGCCAGAATGGAGTTATAGCACTGGCCTTTGAGAGGTTAACAGTCCTCTGAGTTTGGGATCTTGTCCACAAGGGGGCCCATCTTCCAAACACACACCCACTTCCTGCTGTCATCCTCAGCTTAATTCATCTTTCCCTATGCCTTCACCTTTCCTTACAACAAGAAGTCAAGATTCACTGACTGCAGAGGCTCTGAAAATGAGCTGCTCCCCAGGACCAGTAATTGCACTGCTCTTATTGTTTGGTGAGTGATATGGCACAAAAAATAATTCTTTTGCTGATGATGCTGACAGAATCTTTAACCCTGGTTTCTCTAAGAAAGAGGAGAGTCATGACCAAGCAGATTAAGGTATCTCCTGCTGAATTCTAATATTTTGTTTTCAGGAGGAAGCAATGGAGACTCAGTGACCCAGACAAAAGGCCAGTGGCCGTTTTGGAAGGGGCTTCCCTAACTGTGAACTGCTCCTATGAAACCAAACCTTATTCTGGTATGTCCAATACCCTGGAGAAGGTCCACAGCTCCTTATTAAATTCTCCAAGGCCAATGAGATGGGAAGCCACAAAGGATTTGAGGCCATGTATGACAAAGAAAGAAGAAAGCCATAGTCCTGGTGTCAGACTTGGCTGTGCTCTGAGAGACACAGTGGTTGTACTATTGTGCTCTGAGAGACACAGTGGCAGAAACTACAGGGGGAGCTGAGCACAGACAGTGACAGCAAGGGCCTAGCTGCTGAGTTCCTGCTTCAGGGAGAGGAACCAGACTACAGTTGTTGCCATCACCACATCCAGGGATAGAATCACAATAGGAGAACTTGGAATAGACATGCCGCACAGAGATGTTTTCACAGTGAGAAGGAAAAACAGTCTGCACCATATTTCCCAGACTGGGTGTGAAATTTGTGATTTTAGAATTACAAAACATGGAGATGAATGAAATGCTTTATCTGTTCATGCTTTTTACTTCTTAGGCTCTGTGGTAACAGGGATTGAATTTGGGGCCTTATATTTGCTAAGCAAGTCCTCTAACATTTGAATATCATGCCCTAGTCTTCTTGCTTTTAGTTTGTTTTTCAGATAAAGTCTTGAATTTTTTCTGAGGTCATGAACCTACTACCTACACCTTCTAACTTGTTGGAATTATGGCATGCTCCCCCCCCCCCCAACTGGCTTGTGTATGTTCATCCTCTGATAACACTCTATCCTCCTGAACTTGACTAAGGTCACAAGCTTTTGTGTTAAGAGACACAGCTGAAAGTGTAAATATTAATGTCTTCTTCATAAGTTGATGATCTAAAGAAAGTTATTCCAGAAGAATAAAACATAAAGCTGAGTTTATCCCAATAAATAACAAATTCTTAGCAAAAGAAATTGAATTGCTATCCTGGTGTCTTGGAGGTTGAGGTCCTAGTGAGTCACAGCTTCCCAAGTACCTGCCAAGCTAGAATGGGAAGGAGGTGATCATGGCTACAAGACAGAATGGATGGCAAAGAAAAAAATATATAAATGTCTTGGACTGTCTATTTTAGTCATGACTATATGTCAGTTTTTTGGGGACCTGTGGTACATTTTTCCTTGTGAGAAGTATTCTTGGCACAAAAAGTGAGAGAGAAGAGAGGTATATAATCATTCACTGTCTCACAGTATATAGGATATGCTTAGTGACCTATGTCTATGTTTCTCTATTATCTATGATCTATTTATCAATCTACCATGCATCTATCTATCTGTCTGTCTGTCTGTCTGTCTGTCTGTCTGTCTGTCTGTCTGTCTGTCTGTCTGTCTATCTATCTACCTACCTACCTACCTATCTATCTATCTTCATTGGCTATCAGGAGTTTGGGCCATTTCCACTATTCGGTTATTGTGGCAAGTGCTACAATGGACATAGGTATGCAAGTGCCTTACCTTCTGACTTACATTCTATTATATGCATGCTTGAGGAGTATGGTTGGGTCACACAATAGCTCTGTTTGTTTATGGTTTTTGTTAAAATTTCATACTGATTTTCTTAGTGGTTTCAGTTGTTTAGCGTTCCTTTTTCTTCATATCCACAGCATTTGTGCTTGTATACATAATATTGGTCATTCATTGGGGCTGGGAATTTGGCTCAGTGGTAGAGCGCTTGCCCTGCATGCCTGAGGCCCTGGGTTCGATTCCTCAGCACCACATAAGCAAAAAGAAAAAACCCGGAAGTGGCGCTGTGACTCAGGTGGTAGAGCGCTAGCCTTGAGCTGAAGAGCTGAAGGACAGTGCCTAGGCCCAGAGTTCAGGCCCCACAATCGGACCCAAATAAAAAAAAATAAGTAAAAAAAAAAAAACAACATAATATTAGTCATTCATATTCTGTGTGTGTGTGTGTGTGTGTGTGTGCATGCATGCTGGTACTGGTCCTTGAACTCAAGGGTGGCAACTACCACTTGAGCCACCGCTCTGCTTCAGGCTGTTTAATTTTTTTGGTGATACATTGAAGAAAAGGATCTCAGGAAATTTGCACTTGGTTGACTTTGAACTGTAAAATTCACACCTCAGATTTCCAATTATGCTAGAATTACAAGTGTTAGCTGTGGGTACCAGCCTCTCAGTATTGCTTGGTTTGGATTTATTTAATGGCTAGGAATGTTGAGCAGTTCTTCATGTGTTTGTTGGCAATTTCCCTTTTTTGTTCATCTCCTTTGCCTTTAAATAATTGGGTTGTTGATTTTTGACAGGTTAATGTTTGAAATATTTTAATATTTCAAATAATAATATTTTAATCAGATGTATAGCTCTCCTCACATATTCTGCTTCACCATTCCAAATGCTGCAATTCCCAGACTTTCAAATTTTTGGACAAGATGGTTCTTGGAGGGGTGTATGGCATTGCTGAAAAGACTTTACAAATTTAATCATCACATCCTCAACCACATCTGATGAAAGCCATTCCTATGCACCAAACATGATCAAAAGTAAAGGCTTACTCTCTGGACTGGTCTCTGGTTTGGGGGACGGCCTATAAATCTGAGCATGCCATGAGATTAAGTTAAAAATAGATTCCTGCAAGAATTTTACAGTCATATTTTACTTGGATATCACTGAGTGCATATTAAGAGCATTATCAGATATTCTTTTCTTCAATAACTGGTGACAAAGCAGCCCTCCCTTAGTCTAGCAAACTGATAAACTTCAAGTAGCATCCAAGCACCAGTGGTTCATGCCTGAAATCCTAGCTAGTCAAGGGGTTGAAATCTGAGGATTGCAGTTCAAAGTCAGCCCAAGCAGGAAAGTCCATGAGACTTATCTCTAATTAACTACAAAAACCAGAAGTAGAGTAGTGGCTCCAAGTGATAGAGTGCTAGCTGTAAACAGAAGAGCCCAGGCCCTGAGTTCAAGCCCTATAACCAACCATAACAGCAACAACTAAAAAAGTATGTTTGGAAAAAGTACAAATAAATCCATATATGTTGCAATATGATTCAGAAACCTTTTCATATTAGTGGTTTAAATGCTTAAAACATAAATATAATAATTATTCCATATATATATAACATATATGATATATATACTCATTTTTTTGAGATCATTTTACTACATGGCCCCATGTGAACTCAAAGTCATGATTCTTCTGATCTTTTCCTGCCAAGTCCTGTGAATATTAGCATCAGCTGCAACTCTGAGCTCAAGGTACACATTTTCTAATCAACTCAACACTGATAATTTTTCTCAAAAACTATCTGGTTATTTTTTATTTACAATAAATGTTGAGTGAAATTTGACACAAAGTTACATTTTATTTTCATTGTGAAAGTACCATACAGAGAGGTTACAATTACACGGGCAAGATAATGAGTACATTTCTTATCAAGCATTGTAGCCTCCTCCTTTGTTTCCCCTTCCCATCCTTTCCCATATCCCCCCACCCTCCCTAGCCGATCCTTCCCCCCTCCCCACAAAGTTACATTTTAAATTTAATAAAATAGTTAATAAATGTAAAATTGACTCACTTGCTATTGATCATTCTCTTTAAATTTGAACACTTAAACAATCACAAAAAAGGCCACGCTAAAGCAACAGCACATCCATTTTCATGGCAGCATTGTTTACCATAGCTAAGATAAGGAAACAACCCAGATGCTCCTCAGTAGATGAGTAGACCAAGAAAATGTGATACACACACACACACACACACACACACACACAAACACACACACACACAAACACACAAATGGAATTATGTGCTTCCATCAGAAAGAATGACAAGTGCCCTTTTGTAAAAAAAAAAAAAAAAGGAAAGACTTGGAAAAAAATCACATTAAGTGAAGTAAGCCATACCCACAGAAACATAGGTCCCATGGTTTCCCTCTTTTGTAATAATTAATATTATGTCTAGGTTAGTCCTATAGTTCAATAGCTATGAACATATGACCATATAAGATTGAAATGAACTCCAAGATATGAGAATAAGAGGGTTTTGTTGTTGTTTTAATGTACAGTGTGAAGTTATTTCTTTTTTCTTTTACTTTTTTTCCTTTGGTTTATTCCCTGTCATCACTGTTTTTTTTTTATTGTGGTAGCCACAATAAAATATATGTCTATCTGATTTGGGGAAGTGAAGGGGAATAACAAAATGGTGAGACGAAGGGCAAAGGGTGATCCAATGCAACCGCTATACTCATAAGATACTATGGTGGAAATGAACCTTACA